CTTTCTAAAGTTCTGAGCAGAGCAATCTTACATTAAATTGAGTCTGTTACTTTGAAAACTAGCCCATTTAAAATTCTATATATATTTTGTCTATATGATATGCAGTCTGACACACTTTTATTTTGAAAAGATATATGAATCGAGGTAGAAGATGATTTTAAGGTACTTCCTGAGGATTCCCTTTAATAGGAAAAACAGGTGTAGCTGTAGTAAAGGAATGAAAAATGAGACACAGTAACTTCTGCTTCAATCCTGTAAGAAATCAGCTGTCTCAATGATACCAGTTCATCTGCACCGTGTTTCATATGCAGGCACTATCTCTAGGCAGGTGCCAGGCAGTGGGGGTGCAGGGAAACACAGTCACAGGCACCCGGCATGCTATGTTTACTGGCAGAAAACAGTGCAGGGTCCGCAATGTGGCTCTACTGTAAAGGAAGTACCAAAAATTGTCTAATTTGGACACGCACAATTATGTACTCAAAATAAGTAAAATAATTAAAAGAAGTGTTCTTCTCAAAAAAAAAAAAAAAAAAGGAAAGAAAGCAACCCAGTTTCTCTCAATCATTCCCCAGAGACTGGGCCACTCCCACCCACTCTGCCCAGGGCACAGCCACATACTTCACTGGTCCCACTTTTGCCATCTTCGGGGTCCGAGGAGCTGAGAAGTAACGCTTCATAGGTAAATAGTAACTCCCGTTAGGGCTCAGAATGCTGGAATCTGTGTCCTGAGAAATTTCCAGCCTACATCCTGAAGCAGTAGAGGACACTGGCCAAGGAAACGGGGATAAAGCCACCAACCTGAGTTCAAATCGTGAGTCGACACTGATCAAGGGTCTAACTTGGCTCCTGACTAAAGGCATTAAATCGTAGCTACACAAGACCTAGCACCACGTCTCACACGTAGTAAACACTGATTACCAAATTCGGTCGGAATGGCAAAAAAGACAGGACTGCTTAAAGAAAATAAGTCATTCTGAAAAAACATCAATGGGCTAAATGAAAGCGTCAGGTGGTTCTCAGGAAAGAGGGCTCTACTTTCAAACGGCCTCTAGTCTGTCCCGTTTCTCCATGTCTACCCTCCTAGAAAAAACCTCCGCCACCTCTCGTCTGCCGTGACCTAACTGGCCACCCCTTTCCTACCACTGTGTCTACTCCTGCCCATCTGCAACCGTTCTCTACTCAGCAGCAGGAAGGGTCTTTGAAAAACCTACCTACGTCACGTGGACCCCTTTCGTAACACAATAGTTTACCAGCCTGACCTGGGCTCTGGCCAGCTCTGTGTCTGCTCCCTTCCCTTCCCCCACATCCCCAGTCACACAGGCCTTCCTTCCGTGTTACAAAAGCACAAGACTTCTCCGACCTCGTGACCATCCTCCTGCCACGGCCGACCTGCTCCTGGAACTCAGACCTTGACTTAATGTCACCTCCTTAGCGGGGCCTTCTCCAGTCACCCAATCTTTGACATTACCAGTTTTTATTTATTTATTTATTTATTTATTTTTTAATTTTTTTTTCAACGTTTATTTATTTTTGGGACAGGGAGAGACAGAGCATGAACGGGGGAGGGTCAGAGAGAGAGGGAGACAGAGAATCGGAAACAGGCTCCAGGCTCTGAGCCATCAGCCCAGAGCCCGACGCGGGGCTCGAACTCACGGACCGCGAGATCGTGACCTGGCTGAAGTCGGACGCTTACCCGACTGCGCCACCCAGGTGCCCCTGACATTACCAGTTTTAATTCTACGTATAACTCAACTCTGACATCTTCTCTTTACTTGAGTAGTTTCTTCACCGCTTACTTTGTCATCTGCCTCCCTCCACCAGAATGCAAATTCCCCAAGAGCATGGATTCTGTCAGTCTCGTTCAACAGCACACGGCTGGGACCTCGCAGGGGGCCTGGAACATAGCGGGTGCTCAGCAAATACCCAGAGAATGAAAAAATGAGCAAACATTTCAAAAACCGAAGTGTATGGTTTCTATCTGTTAGGATGCTCTTTATCTTGAAAGGGTGAATACTGTCATGTTAAGAACTCAGAGGTGGGAGCCTGATTTGCGCGTGTAAAGTGCTTAGACCCACGCCTAGGACACAGTAAACACCGTGTAAATGTTAAATAGCAATGTTGGAAAGCTTTCAGACACAAGTCCTCTACGTGTTTTAGGCTTGTAGCAATTTTACCTTTTGCCATTGTAAACAGGATATTTTCTTTCACTGTATTCCCTAAATTGGTAAGTATTTATAAGTAGGAAACCCATTTATTTTCCGACTGATTTCGTACCGAGGTATCTCACTGGACTGTCCCCAAGCTCCCAGCGGCACGACTGCCTCAGTTCCACATCACCGTCCCCATTCCCGTCTCTGCAGCCACCTGCTGGTCCCTTACCTTCCTTCCCTTCCCTGCTGAACGTGCAGACACACTCACACCCTGTTCTGCAAATATTACCAGCAACACACACCACTACCATCGCATTCGATCCAATTTAAACTTTTACGACCTAAGGTCACTTG